ATAGCTAGCAACCCAAAACAGTCCAGTGGAGCCTGAGTGGTGGGTGTTGCCTTCTGACACACTTCCGGTGATGTCAGGGGGTGTGGCGCATGCAAATGAGTTATGTTAATGAGCTCCTGCACCTCTTTTTCTACGAAATGGCCCCTGGGTTTTGACCAATGTGTGACACAGACTGTTGGACTGGGTGGGCCACTAGCCTGATCCAACAGGGCTTCTCTTATGTTCTTACGGACCCGGTTTAGCTTCCAAGATCTGACAAGATGGAGGCGTCCTGGGCCTTCCAGGTCGGGGCAATAATTAGGCGCCATCATGTCATAACTGACTTATGGCGACCCCGTAGGGTTTTCAAGGTAAGATAGGAACAGGGGTGGGTTCGCCATTGGCCTGCCTCTGCGTAGCAACCCTGGACTTCCTTGGGGGTCTCCCATCCAAGTCCTAACCAGGGCCGACCCTGCTTAGCTTCTGAGAACTGACTAGATCGGGCCAGCCTGGGCCGTCCAGCTCTGGGTTTAGGATTTGGCCTGGGACCCGACAACATACCAGAAAGAGCCTTCTGCTCTGCAGAGCAGGTGAGTCGTGAGGGCCAAGCTCTGGTGACCCGCGTGCTGCAAACCCACGTAACCAAACACTGAGGGTCCCCGCGATGCGGGAGCGCGTGTGTACGGACGCCTGCCAAGGTTGTTTTCTTCAGGCTTGCGTCTCTCGCTTCCTCGCCCTTGCAGCCTGCGACCACTGCTTGCGAGCGCTGGAGACGGCGGAAGAGAACGCCCAAAGGCTGCTGGGGAGATTTCAGGCCCTGCCGCGTCCGGAGCAGTGCCGCATCCACAAAGACCTGCATCACCTCTGCCCCAGTTGCCAGGTAAGGCGGGTTTGGTCCTTTTCATTTCAAAGAGAGCCAGTTTGGTGTCGTGGGTAAGTGGGCGGACTCTAATCTGGGGGAGCCGGGTTTGATTCCCCACTCTTCCACTTGCACCTGGCTGGATGACCTTGGGCAAGCCGTAGTTCTGGCACAGCTGTTCCTGAAAGAGCAGTTTGTGTCAGAGCTCTCTCAGCCCCGCCAACCTCACAGGGTGTCTGTTGTGGGGAGGGGAAGGGAAAGGAGTTTGTAAACCCCTCTGAGACTCCTTTGGGTAGTGAAGGACGGGGTATAAATCCAATCTCCTCTTCTTCTTCCTCTTCTTCCTCCTCCTCCTCCTCCTCCTCTTCTTCTTCTTCTTCTTCTTCTTCATCGATACCCCGTTTTCTTCCCCAGTGTGGACCCAAAGCAGTTTACAGTCATTTTGCCTTCCTACATTTTATTCTCACAACGACCCTGTGAGCGGTGTTCCCTCTCAGCTGAGTTACTGTGAGCCAGCTCGCAGGTTTTTTTAGCCTCCGGCTCACGCATTTTTGTCTTCGCTCAGGAAGGAGGGCTCTAAAGCAAAGCCATGTCTGCAGCAGCCAAATCGCTCGCTCACAGCTTTAATGCCAGGAGCTCACCAAGTAGAATTTCCGCTCACAAGACTCCACAGCTTAGAGGGAGCATTGCCTGAATTAGGTTGAGAGCGTGTGCCGGGCCCAGGTCACCCGGCACGCTTCCTTGGCAGAGCGGGGATTGCATGTGTAAAGAGCCATCAAGCATAGCCGACTTATGGCAGCCCCGTCGGTTTTCCGAGGAAAGAGACAAACACAGGTGGGTTGCCAATGCCTGCCTCTGCGTAGCCATTGGTGGGTTGCCAATGCCTGCCTCTTCTTCACCCAAAGAGTGATTAACACTTGGAATTCACTGCCACAGGAAGTGGTGGAGGCTACAAGCATGGACGGCTTCAAGAGGGAATTAGATAGGCATATGGAGCAGAGGTCCATCAGTGGCTATTAGCCACAAGGTATAGATAGGGGCTCTGGGGCAAATGATGCTCTGTCTTCTTGGTGCTGGGGGGGGGGTCAACAGTGGGAGGGCTTCTAGTGTCCTGGCCCCACTGCTGGACCTCCTGATAGCACCTGGTATTTCTGGCCACTGTGTGATACAGAGTGTTGGACTGGATGGCCTTTGGCCTGATCCAACATTGGCGTCTCTTATGTTCTTATGTAGCGGCCCTGGACCTCCTTGGTGGTCTCCCATCCAGGTACTAACTAGGTCTGACCCTGCTTAGCCTCCCAGGTCTAATGAGATCGGGCTAGGCTGGGTCGTCCCGGTCAAGGTAGATGAGCAGAGGTGGGTTTGCCATTGCCTGCCTCTGCGTAGCAACCCTGGACTTCCTTGGTGGTCTCCCATTCTAGTACGAACCAGGGCCAACCCTGCTTAGTTTCCCAGCTCTGATGAGATCAGGCTGGCCTAGGCCTTCCAGGTGAAGGCAGAATGGGGATTCGAACCTGGGTCTCCCGAGTCCTAGTCTAGAAATGTAACATTTCCGGAAATTTTGAAGCTCGGAAAAAACCCCGGTTTCCCCCCGGTTTTTTTGGGTTTTTTACGGAAATTTTCGGAAAAATTGGGGAAAAAATGCTACATTAGCATTTCTTTTGTCTTTTCCAGATTGAAAGCCATTCTGTTACTTTAGGAACATAAAATAAAACTATGGACATTTTTACTTGGCATGAAATTATCACCACTAGCCTATTAAAAATAGAGTGTATCCAAACAGTTATTACAAACAGAATACCCGCCCACATGCAAAAACAAAACTGAAACTTTTTTATTTTCTTCTGACAATCGCACCTCCTAAAGGAAGAAATGCATCTTGTTCTTGCACTGGAGAGTTCAGTTTGTAACCTAGGACTTGCTTGTCCTCAGTGCACAGAAATTAGATCAATCTGATTTGGAAAATATTTGAACACCTTGCCTTGAAATATTTTATTCATCATGTTAAAATAAAACGTTCCATAATCAATTTCTTTTCTTTTTTAAATTTTTCCAATTTTTCGGAAAAAAACACAAAAAGGCTTCAGGAAAAAAACAGTTTTTCCCCGATTTTTTCCGGGGTTTTTCCGGGCTTTCACATCTCTACACCACACTCTCCGTTGCACTGGGTTGTGAGCTGAGGGGTGCCTTTCGTGGTCATCAAGCCTCAGGTTGAGCTGTAGTGATGTGAATGCTGCATATTTGGAAGGGGCCATCGCCCCATGGTTGGGATGAATTGTACTCAAGAGCGGAGACAGTTCTGTGTCCCTAAGCAGCACGTGGCCGTTGCTACATTCATTCCATGCCCTAGCACATGATGAAAGCCCTTGTAGTGTAGTGTTTAGAACGCTGGATGAGGGGGTGGGAGACCCAGATTCAAATCCTGGCTCAGCGAAAGAGCTTCTTGGGTGATCTTGGGCAAGTCATGTTCTTCTAGTCTAGCTTCTCTCACAGGGTGTTGTGAGGATGTTATGCACGGGACGAGCTACACGTCCCCTCCAGTGTTCCCTCTAAGCGGAGTTAGTGTGAGCTAGCTCACGGTTTTTGAGCCTCCAGCTCACACATTTTTGTCTTAGCTCAGGAAGGATGGCTCCAGAGCAAACTAATTTATGCAGTAGCCGAATCTCTCGCTCACAACTTTAATGTCAGTAGCTCCCAAAGTAGAATTTTTGCTCACAAGACTCCACAGCTTAGAGGGAACATTGGACTCCCCTCAGCTTCTTGAAAAGAAGGGGGAAGGTAGAAGTATAATCCATTGTACCTGGGCGCGCACATACACCCAAAGGGTATTCCTGCCATGTTGCCCACACACGGGCCCGAAGGAAAGGCCAGAAGTGAAGGAAGAGCCGACAGCGTAGAGATTGCCAGGTGGCTCGAGTGAGTGAGCCAAGCAGCATGGAACCAGAGGCAGCTGGGGTACAAAGCAGTTAAGCGCCTTTCCACAAGAATATAAGAATATAAGACGATCAGACCCCGTGACTGATTCACGTAATTGTGAGCCCAGAATGTCGTTTTGATCCTGCTTGTGTATCTGCACCCTTACTCACTGTCTTGCCTTGTCCCTGTTGTTTCGTAGGTTGCGTATTGTAGTCCAGAATGCCGACAGGCCGCCTGGGACCAGTACCACCAGGTCTTGTGCCTTGGACCCTCCCGGGAGGACCCCAATCACCCCCTCAACAAATTGCAAGAGGCCTGGCGGTAAGCTCAATGGAAAACTCTGCCCTGCATTTTTAAAGATGTTGACATCCTGCCTTTCCTCTTGGTTCAGCGTGGCTTACAATGTTAGTTAAAGAAGAGAGTGAGAGTCCAGGAGCACCTTAAAGACTGACAAAATCTGTGGCAGGGGAGGAGCTTTCATGAGTCGCCGCTCACTTCTTCACATACAGCTAGAATGCGAGTCCGTCTGTCCTTATATCTTGGAGAGTGGAGTGATTTCAGATGCCGAATGCCATTAGCCGGCAAATGACAATAGCAGGTGAATGGCAATAGCAGGCGTGATTGGTTATAGGTGTGATATGCAGAGGGGTCATGGGCGTGGAGAAATCAGCATCGGTAATGGGACAGGAGACCTAGGTCTCGATTCAGTCCAGGAGGATGCATTGTCTTGAGCCTCATTATCAGTTGCGATTCGGCAGTCTCTCTAATCTCCCTTTGGCATTCCTTTCTAAGAGAACTGCTACTCTTAGGTCAGCGACTGAATGTCCTAGAACTCCTGTTCTATTGAGACTTTGCTACAGAGCTTGTTATGAGGACTTATAATGTAAGAAACTGCAGCTTCCCTTTTAGGAATTGACTAAGCACCCCAGTTGCAAGATCTTGGATCATGAAGATGGGAGAGAGAGATCTCTGTCTGAGGGTCTGATCAAGTCGGAAATGACTGTGCAGGGCTCGATTGCAGGCAGTGTTCCCTCTCAGCTGAGTTAGTGTGAGCCAGCTCAGTTTTTTAGCCTCCGGCTCACACATTTCTGCCTTCACTCGGGAAGGAGGGCTCCAGAGCAAACTGATTTACGCAGCAGCCAAATCGCTCGCTCACAACTTTAATGCCAGGAGTTCACAAAGTAGAATTTTTGCTCACAAGACTCCACAGCTTAGAGGGAGCATTGGGTCCAGGTCAGTGTTCCCTCTAAGCTGAGTCAGTGTGAGCTAGCTCACAGTTTTCTAGCCTCCAGCTCACACATTTTTGTCTTCGTTCAGGAAGAGTGGCTCCAGAACAAACTAATTTATGCAGCAGCCAAATCGCAAGATGAGCACCGCAACGCTAGAGTCGGATTCGACTGGTTTTCGAGCAAGGGAGACCTTTACCTTTACTTCTAGTATCACAGCCCAGTGTTCCCTCTAAGCTGAGTCCATGCGCGCTAGCTCACAGTTTTCTAGCCTCCAGCTCACACATTTTTGTCTTCGTTCAGGAAGGGTGGCTCCAGAGCAAACTAATTTATGCAGCAGCCAAATCTCTGGCTCACAACTTTAATGCCAGGAGCTCACAAAGTAGAATTTTTGCTCACAAGACCCCACGGCTTAGAGGGAGCATTGGTTGCAGTGGCTGACCTGTGGGGCAGGTGGCTGGGTCTTTGGGGGAAGGGGCTGGCTTGAGCGCCCTTTCGCCGATGACTTTGTGAAAAGGTCTTCTCCCCCTCCGTTGTGTGCAGGAACATCCATTACCCACCGGAAACTGCGAGCATCATGCTGATGGCGAGGATGGTTGCGACGGTCAAGCAGGTGTGTGTTTAGCTGCCTCAGCCAGAGACAAGTACAGGGGTTTCCAACATGGTGCCCAGGGGCATTATGGTGCCCACTGGCAGCTCTCCTGGCACCAGTGGGTGGGGCCAGGTGGGACTTTCCCCAGAGGTTGGCCACTGAAGATTTTTGAAAAGATCTTCAGTGTGGGACAGAAGGTAAGCCATGGCGGCCATTTTCTGGCTGGCTCCTCCTCCTGTGGGAGCCATTTTGTGGCTGCGTCCACCAAGCTATATCAGAATTCCAAATGGGCCTGCAGGCTGAAGTAGGTTGGGAACCTCTGAGCTAGTAAATCTAGGAATCGGAGCTCATGAATCCAGGGGAGAGGAAGGGGGGGCAATTGTCAGCTGCTCTGAGACTCCTTTGGGTAGTGAAGGGTGGGGTATAAATCCAATCTCCTCCTCCTCCTCCTCCTCCTCCTCTTCTTCTTCTTCGTAGTGGTTTGATGTAGTGGTTAGGAGCGCGGACTCTAATCTGGGAGAACCGGGTTTGATTCCCCACGCCTCCACATGCAGCTGCTGGTGTGACCTTGGGTCAGTCACAAGTTCTGTCAGAGCTGTTCTTGAAAAAGAGCAGTTTCTATCAGAGCTCTCTCAGCCCCGCCTAGCTCACAGGGTGTCTGTTGTGGGGAGGGGAGGGGAAAGGAGTTTGTAAGCCCCTCCAAGACTCCTTCGGGTACTGAAGAGCAGGGTATAAATCCAATCTCCTCCTCCACCTCCTCCTTTTTCTTCTTCTTGCCAAAGAGGAGGCGCGGGGCTTCCCACTGGGGAGAAAGGTGGGGTAGAAACGAGACGAAATAAATAAAACGTGCTGGAGGCTTTTCAAAGGAAGCAGCACTACAGCAGGGAGCCATCCAGACTTTCTCTCTGATGCGGCTCTTCAGACAACTTCACGCCCAAATGAATCCAAGGGCGCACTGCTGTGTCAATGTAGTCCGTGGCCTGGATCCTGCCCGTCTGTTCCCAGTAGCACAACCAGCTTCCTTTGGGGCGTCAGAATTTACATTTCCCATCTCCGCACCTGGGTTCAAGACTGGCCTTGTGCAAGCCTGTTTTCATTTAAAGTTGTTAGAAGCCATTTTTTAAAAAAAGTAGCTAATGGTTCGCATAGTTTCCGAGGCTGCTGATTCTCTTGCTTCAGGTCTCTGTCTAAGAGTACATCTATCCCTCTCTGCTGAATTTAAAAAAAAAAGATAACATTCCTTTTGTTTCTCTTTCCAGGCCAAAGACAAAGACTGGTGGATCAAGCTGTTCTCTCAGTTCTGCAGCAAAACGGCCAACGAGGAGGAAGAAAAGAACAGCTCTGAGAGAGAGAACTTGTGACTGACCCAAGGTCACCCAGCTGTCTGCATGTGGAGGAGGAGTGGGGAATCAAACAATGACTAGTCCAAGGTCACCCAGTAGGCTTCATGTGGAGGAGGATTGGGGAATCAAACCCAGTTCTTGAGTTTACTGCTCTAAACCACTATACCACACTGGCTCTCTGCTGGATCAGACCACTGGTACATTTATCTTGTCTCACATAGGGGCCAACCAGTTCCTCTGGAGGGCCAACAACAGGGCAGAGAGGCCGAGGCCTTCCCCTGATAAGAACCTCAGAAGAGCCCAGCTGGATCAGACCACTGTAGTGATTAAGTGCGCGGACTCTAATCTGGGAGAACCGGGTTTGATTCCCCACTCCTCCACTTGCACCTAGCTGGATGACCTTGGGCAAGCCATAGTCCTGATAAGAGCTGTTCTTGAAAAAGAGCAGTTTCTGAGCTCTCTCAGCCCGACCTACC